GGATAAGGAAGTCTATCAAAGTCTGCAATCAGTAAAAAAAGGTCGCTGACATCTTGACTTCCATTCTGTTATGTTAGGAAACAAGTAAGAAATGGTTTAATTTCATTTTCCAGTAGAACTAAGTGTATACCCATGTCATTAATTCATGATCCTCCTAGAGGTATTCATCCACATGGTTTAAAGTTTTGGATAATTTTAGAAGTGCATACTCCTGAATCCTGATAATCATATGTCCATCATTGTCTTGCAGTTGCAGGGGTTGCTACAAGTGTAGCAGCGTTAGGGGCTGCCTAGCGAGGACGCATGCCAAGAGGTTCGAACCCTGCTTGTGGCCCTGTGTGTGTTTGGGGTGGGGTGGGAGGGAGGGGAAATCATATACTGACCAATCTGGAGTAGATCGTGGTGATCCATGGACGCAAGAGTCGCCTCCCTGTTCGGCAGTATGTGGAATCGTCTCAGCGGCCATCTGTGTGAAGCATCGCTGTCCGTGGGTCGTCGGAGTTGATGGCTTGGTGGCCGGCGGTGGATCCGCCTCTCCACTAGCCATGAACATGACGTCACAAGCAACAGAATCAATCTACGATTTGTGAGTAGCTGGTTCCGTTGGGTAAAGCCATGTAAAGAAAGTAGATACGATTTGTTCCCTGTTAATTAGTTGCTTCGGTTGGACGCGGCCTTGTAAAGAGAAAAGAATTGTACAGTATTAAATTGTAAATTAGCCACAGGGGCAACTGTGTCTTTTCGCATGGGAAAAAAGGGATAGAAATTCGAAAATGATTTCAGTAATTGAAAAGGGCAAATCATCAAAAGAAAAATGAAAAGTGGGGCAAATGATCTAATCCCATGTAAACTGGAGCAAATCATCTAATGCCCAAGTAAAGTGGGGCAAATTGTCCAATCTCCCCTGTTTCTTTCCGCTTCGGTGATGCCCCGGAGCCGTTTCGTTATTTCAGTTTGTTTTCCTCATTTGGGGTGGTTTTTCAAGCACCCCCTGTCGGCAGGATTTGGACTTTGAACCCCTACAAATTTTTACGATTTGGATTTTTTGTTTTTGTTTTCATGTTGGTTTTTTCAGAGGTATGTATTACAGAGTTTTATTCTAAAATTATAAAGTTTTAGTTGTGGGGTAACAATTCATCAATACTTCAGGACTTTGATGCACACGACGAAAGTACATTTAGTATGTCTGACGACCGGCCACTCTATTTTGTTCCCTCCTAATCTTTTACTAAGTAAACTCTCTAAACTCTCTAGCACTCATCAATGATCTGATCTCCACGGCAAGATGTCCGCCGATCAACCAATCCATCACCTAAACCTAATAAGATGAAGAGCTTCTGAAGAGGCCGATTGCATAATGACCAAAAGGGTTATGTCTTGGACAACGAGAGTCATCCCTTACATTAATGCATGTACTCCGCTTTCAAAGCATCACTGCAATTGAGCACGACCCGATAATCCGCAAAACGTATTGTTCCAGCATGCCTCTCAAGATCATAACTACCGCCGCAAAACATATCGTTCCAGCATGCCTCTCAAGATCATAACTACGCAGTTGAGTCATCCGACTCTAAAAGAAAACCATCAACATGTTCTTTTACCATCGACACAACCTCATTATCAAAAGCATGCATTTTGTTCCTTCAAAACTTCTTCCTTGCTGAATTTGCATGAGAGACCAACGCATTTCATGTAGTTGTCTAAAAATTACACCGTTCCATCATCAGGGGATACCTCTCTGTCATAGATTAGATCAATACGCAGGTTTCAAGTGTAGCATATCAACATAATGAGTCTAACCTCTGTAACTTCAAAGCACTGAAGCAACACGTCGAGGAGTCATTCCTTTTTATTATTTATCAGATGATCGTTCTCAAGTAAGGACCAAACAACACGCATGTGTTCCCAAAAGTTTCAAGCATGGCTACAAGAAACCAACAACTGAAATTATTCTCTTTCTCTACACCGCATGACAGGCAAGTGCCTGAGGTAGCCAGATGACGATAATCTTTGCATGTCGAGGTAGCCAAAGCACCCGCCGCTGTCGTCCAGGCTGTAATATTCATATTTTGAGGTGCAGAGGATTGCCAAATACAGTTCTAGATCAAACAATCTCCTTCAGAGTGGCTGTCAGACGCGTCCCATGCAAACAACTCACCATATCATGCAATCGCTAACCGATATGTGCTCTTCACAGAGAGATGTCCGTTTTTTTCGGATACCAAACAAAAAAACAAGGCGCTGCCTTAAGGATGTGCGAATTTTTCAGGATCTTGTGAATGTCCATTGGTCAGAATTTATCCATTGTGACGTTGGGTATTCGACCATGACCATATAAAAACATCTAAATTATAGGATGATTCATGAGCTTAACTCAAACATGTCCTAAATGGTCACCCTGTGCGTTCGGTTTATTCGGTTTAGATGGTTTGGTTTATATGGTTTTTCGGTTTGTACGGTATTAATACTTCGGTAAATATGGTATGAAAATAAAATACGGTTCGGTTTCGGTATATACCAAATTATTTCAGTATGGTTTCGGTATATACCATAAAAACCAAAGTTGACGCGAATTTGAAAATGACGTAATAATAATTTGCAAATTTACGACTCAAAACACATACTAGTTTACACAAATAGTATATGACTATATATATAAGTATATATACATGCATTGATTCATCTGTTGATGGTTATGGACGTGCTTAGCATTTTAAAAGGAGAAAAATGACTGTGTTACAAGAAAAATTTAGGTGCTTAGTAGTGAATTTAACTCATGTACAAGAAAAATGACAACTTGTATGGTTGTTTATCTCAAGAAATATAAATTTATTTTTTACTTTGATTTATTCGGTTAACCGTTCGGTTTTTCGGTATATACCATAAAAACCGAAGTTCAAATCGGTATGAAAAGTTCATACCATACCGAAACCAGAAACCATAAAAACCATAAAATCGGTTCGGTTCGGTTTATTTTTGGTATGGTTTTTTGGTTCGATTTTCAAATGCACAGAGTGACTAAATAGTCTGAAAGATTTCAAACTACCCGCTAGTGGTTTTTTAGAGAACCACCCACTAGGTTGAATTTCCCTTTTTAGGTGTTGACACTTAAACATTAGAGGACGTGGGATTACCCAGCTCTTCGGGGCTCCCCATGAACTTTTTCTATCTACGATCCACCTGCTTTGTTATTTTTTCTCCTACTTTGCTTCGTCTTTTTCATTGTCAATTATGTAAACACCACACATTGATAATTGCCCAACCAAATCTTATTTCTCCATATCGTTCAACCACCAGCAACAACAAGGAAAGGCGTCGACATTTTTATCAAACAATTTGATAATTGCCCAACCAAATCTTATTTCTCCATATCGTTCAACCACCAGCAACAACGAGGAAAGGCGTCGACATTTTTATCAAACAATTTATTCTAAGAATGTTGACGTTGTTCATCACCGATAAACCATCGAGAGTATCAACATCGTCGACGTTCAGTGAGCATCCCTCTTTTTTCTTTCTTTCCATCCTTCTACCTTCTGGCACTTCTTCCTTAAGCATGCATTTCCAGGCCGATATGAGGTGAGTGTCATATTCTGTATTTTTTATCATACCATTATTTTTGTTTCTTCACCTTTTAAACTTACAAACTTGAAATTTCGTTTAGAGTAATGTTACATTTTCTTTGGTACTACTAGTAGGTATTGTTTTCCTTTTGGGCAAATACAGGTACGTACAAATTTTCGATGTCTCTACTACAGCTCTGGCCAAAAATCAACGGTAGCGAAAATTCCTTGCTCGCATCGAACTCTCCGCCCGACCTGACCCCCACCCATCTCCCATGGCTGCGGCGGCGGCGGCGGCGACGACGGTGACGGTGACGGCCACCCGCCTCCACCCTCCTCTCGTCCTCCACTCCGCCGCACGGCCCCAGCCCCCGCTCCGCCTCCGCCTCCTCCTCCCCACCCCACCGCCGCTCCGCCTCCGACACCGCTTCCCGCTCCTCGCCGTCGCCTCCGCCTCCGCCGGCGAAGGCCGCGCGGAGGAGGCCGCCGAGAAGAGCGACAAGGCCCGGCAGCTGCAGCGGAGGGTGCTCGTGGGCATCGCCATCGGGGTCGGCGCGGGCGGCGTCGTGGTCGCCGGCGGCTGGGTGTTCACCGCCGCCATGACCGCCGTCGTCCTCGCCGGTGCCCGCGAGTACTTCGGGCTCGTCCGTGGCACAGCCGCCGGCGGCAGCACCCCTCCGCCGCGCTACGTGTCCCGCGTCTGCTCCGCCATCTGCGCCCTCATGCCCATCCTTACGCTGTAAGGGAGCCCCGCATTTGTTGTCTGCTCTGCCCTACTGTCAGAATAAGCTAGAACTTCGCTGTGGATACTGTAATTTATGTGGTATTTAGTCACAATTTTCGGTATAAATGGGCTAGCTATCCTCACGTCGTTGTGGTCGTGCGAGCATAAAATTGCTTTGGCTCACTCACTCTTTAATTTTGTTGGGAATTCTTGAGGTAGAGGCAAGATGGTACAGTAGGAATTAGCTCAAATGCCGGCATTGAAACTTTGCAACCTGTAAGTTGTAGCTTTAGCTTGATACAATTACTTACCATTTTGATCATGGGGTCATTAGACACGATGCGAATCAGGCCTCACGGATTACCATTTCAGCACCGAACTCCCCATCTTATCACTCAATTTCTTGGGTCGGAAGAACAATTAAGTATCAGTGCATTTTTGTATACTTTCGAGGTATCAGCTTACAGATGTTGCTTGATTGCTTCAGCTCCTGAACTTCGTAGCATTTTTACTAGATCAGAGCTTCGTGACATTTTTTTTAGATGATCATAATTTACGCTATATGTTTTTCTTTGTGTGCGCATGTAATGTGGGTGGGGAGGGGTTGCTTAAGAAGGAAGGATTGCTACATTTGGTTGTCAGTTCCTGTTAATATGACTACAGCTTTGAGTTCTGATATTTCTCCTGTATATTTGCGTAGGTGCTATGGCCGCATGGATGTTCCCCTGACATTATCGGCATTTATTATTGCAATATCTTTGGTATTGCAAAGAGGAAACCCCCGTTTCGCTCAGCTAACTAGTTCAGTTTTTGGTTTATTTTATTGTGGCTATCTTCCTTCTTTCTGGGTTAAGCTCCGTTGCGGACTAGCAGCTCCTGCCTTAAATACAAGTATGTCGTCAAATTCTGTTTGTACTTCTCTGCTTACTTCTTTGCTTGTCACCTTTCTCTACCGATTCATCTTTCTGTTTGATTTGCAGTATTGGTAGAGACAGTTTGTTTATAAGAGATTAATTTTATGTATAGTTTTAATTGATTTAAGGGTTCATAAGAAAGTGCATTTTTTAAGTGCTTACCAGTTACCAGTGCAAGTAATTATGATGTTTTTCTGTTCTTGGTGAGTTAATATATTATTGTTATATGTTAAAAGTTATAACCAGTGTTCTTTGACAGGTATAGCACATAACTGGCCAATACTTCTTGGTGGGCAAGCTCACTGGACAGTTGGACTTGTAGCAACCTTGATATCTATTACTAGCATTATTGCTGCTGATACATCAGCTTTCCTATGTGGAAGGGTATGCTCTTTCCTACTCTTCTATTTTGATTGACCCCATTTGACTTTGTCATGTTATTGTAAAACACAGCCTTTTTTAGTTTGTTTTAATTTATCTGGAAACAACTTGCCTATAGTTCTGTGGGTCACTATAATTTTTTTTACTCGTTTTGAACAATATAGTGTACATCAAGAGACTCCTACAGAAGCCTGTCAGAAGTTAGGAGCTATCCAGCTTATGGTGTAACTACTGTTGGGCAACCTGTTAAGATTGCCATTGATGTGACACAACCACACTGATAAAAAAAGTGTGTCAGATCACAGATGAACTTCTAGTTTATTGTTTTTCCCTACCAAAGTAACTACTATAAATTTGTAGACACGCATACAATTGCCCTGCCATGTATGTTTGTTGAATGAAAAAGCATTCAACTTGTCTGAATTTTTGCAGACAAGTGATTTATTTGGACAGTCGTGTATTTGAAAGGAAGTAAATCATGTCATCGTGTTATCCATTTTCCGTTTCAGGCATTTGGCCGTACTCCTTTGACTAACATAAGCCCTAAGAAGACCCTGGAGGGTGCTTTAGCCGGTCTGACTGGCTGTGTGCTTACCACTGTGCTTTTGTCGACTCTCTTTCACTGGCCAAGATCGCTGTTGAGGTATTGCTAACTTCTGACACCTTTCTATTGTTATTGTCCTAGTTCCGAAACATTATTTTTCTTTACTGAATTCTTGAAATTTGGTTACTTGAACGCAATAAACCATCAAATTTTAGGTTTTAGGGTGAACAAAATTGTACCAACATAACGCATTAGTTTTCAATATATCAACAAGAAATACACAACTGCCAGGATTTTTTCTAATAACTCCATGGGAACTCATGACTCATTACATGTTATCTTGTTGCAAAGGAATATATGCCTCTCAATGAAGTTTAGATGGAAAAACTGATATTGATATCGATTTCCAACAATTAGAGTTTCTCAAAAAGTCAGTTTTGGTATCTGCCAGGAGTAGGGGCAGTGTTCTTTTCTTTATATTTTTGTAACTCTATCTGCACATTATTTTCTTGAAATATTTAACAAGGCTGTTCCTACCGTCCTTCAGAATTCAAATAAACAAAGATTTTATATGGTTATATCCTATTAGCCTAAAAAAGAATGTTGACCCGACATACATGTGATAGCATGTATCTCTTTGTTGAGTTTACATCCGCATATAGATTCTCCACTTGTACTCCCTCCATTTTTATATACAAGGCCACTATGAAAAACACATTTTGCATCTATACAAGGCCACCAACAATAATCGAGGCAAATATTAATGATGTTTCCTCGTACTACTAACCCATGACTTAATTACTAGCATGCATGTAGTGGATGATAAGGCTGGTCATAGTGGAGAGTAACTTATACTAGTGTCATACATATGACACTAGTCTAAGTTACTACATTCATAGTGCAAAGTAACATAGTAGTAGTGTCATAGAAGACTTCATTAATTAACTTGTAGACTCATCTTGTCTTGGAAAACGCTATGTTACAGTAACATATTATGTTACCACTTCTCATTAACTACAAAGCCACATAAGCAAAAATTTCTCGAAGTGCGTTATGTTACTTGCTAAGTTACTCCCACTATGACTAGCCTAACGACACACTCACCTACTTCCTCTCCCACGGCCACTCAGTTTTCTCTAATGTGCATGCACTAATTAATCCGGTAAATGAGAAAACAAATTGACTTGTAAAGCACACATTAATTTTTGTCTTGGTACCTGTAATTTTAGTTTGTGGCCTTGTATATAAAAATGGAGGGAGTATCTTGAATGACATATATTTGCGTAAAACTTTGCTTCCCTGCCTAATTATTTAATTGATTGATATCAGTGCTACTGCTTATGGGATCCTGATCTTTCTGGGTTCATTATTCGGGGATCTCATTGAATCTCTTATTAAGCGTGATGCTGGTGTGAAGGACTCTGGGTCGCTCATTCCTGGCCATGGTAAACATTGTTAGCTCTGTTCTTGTTATATCTCATGTTTTGTCATGTCAATTTTTTTGCAGCACTACTCCATGCAATTTTATCTACTCCCTTTGTTCACTTTTATAAGGCGTTGTAGCATTTCAGACAGTGTACAAAATAGCTCAATTTTAGTTGTCTGAAATGACTTATAAAAATGAACGGAGGGAGTATTTCATTCGTACTTTGGTATCGACCCTTTTTTCTAACAGTTACTACCATACTTTCCAAAGTTAGACATCTTGTTTCCGTCGGTTTTGTCCTTTACATTCCGAGTCTCACATCTTACACTTCATCGCGTCATTGCTTTTTCGCGAGCTTAACACAAAGCTGCAATGCAGGTGGTATTCTTGACCGGGTCGACAGCTATGTCTTCACAGGGGCGCTTTGTTACTCCTTCGTCCGAGTAGCTCTACCCCTGTATGGAGTCTGATTTACCGCAGAGAGAAATCGGTCTCCTTGTACCTTCGACGACATTGTCACCCAATGTAACATCGTGTTGGGGCCTTGATGAGATGGCCAGGATCAGCTCCCTTGGCTGACAATATGAGAATTTGGTGGCTGGCTGTAAAATGGGATAAGATCATAGGATGTGGCTGCTAACTAAGCGGTGTTTCTTCTTCATACGGGATCGAGCTGTTTCTTCTTTGGCGCCAAAATGGTGAAAACTTGTCACTTTTTGTGTACATAGTTTTTTCTTTTATTTTTGTAGAGTAAAAAGGGAACGCGGGTGATTGACTACAAGCTACTACATATCTTAAGAAGTGTATTAAGGTTGTCTATGG